GCTTAAGAGCTGTGGCTGCTCTTGCAAAAGACCCGGGTTTGATTCCCAGCACCCATATGGAAGCTAACAACCATCCACAACTCCAGTTCCAGGGTATCCAATGCCCCTGGGCATTGCATGACATGGGTGTACTTACATGTATGCAGGCAAAACACTCATACACATAAATTTAAATTTTTTAATTTAAAAAAAATTTAAAGAAGACAGTTTAGATTGTAGTGTCTTTGTAGTAAAGTTTTTAATCAGGAAGTATCATGCGTCCAAATTTCCTTGGGCTGCTGTCGTTGTTGTTGTTGTTGTTGTTGTTGTTTTTGTTGTTGTTACAAGATCTTGCTATATGGCCCAACATGGCCCAGAACTCACTGTGTAGCCCAAGCTAGCCTCAAACTCATGTGCCTACTTCCCCAGACTCCTGAGTGCTGAGTATACAGGTGAGCACCACCATGCCCAATTCAACTTTGTTTTTACTGAGTGTTTTGATTGTTAGAGATCTAAACTAGTGCTATGATTTGAATGTGATGATGTGTATGGACACATCATTCTAAGCTGATGGTACTGTTTTGGGAAGTTGTGGCTTCCTAGAAGATCAGAAGGCTTGGCTGGCAGAGGACGGTCATTGGGGGGTGGGCCTCTGAGGACTATAACCCATTCCCACTTCTGACCTAAGCTCTCTGCTGAGATGTGAGGAACTTCAACCCAAGGCTTATACCGCCATGAACTCCACCATGCCTTTCCCATGTTGGACTGTATCCTCTCAAATCCTGAGCCAAAATAAGTCCTTCCTCCCTTAAGTTGTTTCTGTCAGATAGTTGCTTACAATTGTAAGAAAAGTAATATCACAATATTTTTATGAAAAAGAGTCTCACGATGTACACTCTAAGCTAGCCTCAGCCTCACAAGTACTGGTGTTACAGGTGTATACACCATGCCCCCAGCTCCATACTGCCTTTTATATTTACCTATACAGTGACCTTTACCAATAATCTGTTTATTCCCATAGATTCAAGAGGTTTTTTTTTAATCTGTGTGTATGCATGTGTGTGTATTATGTGTATGTGTGCATGTCTATGTGTATGAGTGAGGGTACACATGCCACAGTGCATGTGTAGAGGTCAGAGGACAAGCTGAAAGAACCAGTTCTCTCCCTCTGCCATGTGGGTCCTAGGGATTGAAGTCAGGCCATCAGGCTTGGCGGCAGCACCTTTACCCTCAAAGCCATCTTGTTAGTCCCTCAGAAGGTTTCTACTGACTGCTTGTTTCCTCACATAGAAACCGCACTGTCCTGTTTCTTTCATGTCTTTTGTAGTCATCTTTTGGAATTCACAGAGGACACTGTTCAGAGACTCTCTTTAATACCAAAATCCACAGATGCTCAATCTCCTTACATAAATTGGGACTGCATTTGCACATAACCTAGAACCTTTAAATTTTCTCTAAATTCTCCCCTAACTTTTAAGTTCTCTTCAAATTACTTATAAAATGCAACATAAGTAGCATATAAATATTTTGTTGTACTATATCTTTTAGGTAATAATGATAAAAAGTCTTCACATGTCTAGTATAGATGAAATTTTTTTTTATATTTTTGAACCATGGTTGGTTGAAGTTGACTGTATAAATGAAGAGTCTGGATGGCCATCTGTGTTTTCATTGAAAACAGGATATTTTGAATAGTACAGTGTGGTACCTCTGGAAATCATATTTTTGTTGCTTTTTGTCTTTTGTTGACTTCTCTGATGTATATAATTTCTGTATTTTTTCTTATATGTGAGCACTGAAGTCTCTGCTCAGTTAGCCAAGTACCCAGCTTATTTCCTTTACAAAATTTCTAGTAGGTTTTCTTAGAAGCCAGCACTGTCACAGAGCCTCAAGGAGAGGCTCCTTTCTCCTCAAAGGAGAAATTAGCACTTCTCAGGACTTCCTGAACATGCACACACAGCATCCTATGCATTTCACATGGATTCAGATTCAAGTATGTTAGAGCCTTTGAAAGTCTCTAATATCGAATTCTCTTTTCTCTTTGTAAGGTTTTTGAGTCACCTATTGTTTTTGTCATTTCCTACTGCTTTAGGCAGCCACCAAGTTAAACAACTCCCATCACATGCTTTTGAAAATGTTCCTAGGAATAACCTCCCCTTCCTTTTTTCCCATATCCCACAACCTCTGAGTTGGGTAAAAATAAATACAGTCTTACGTATATTCCAAGGAACACGAAGAAAGGTGAAATAATGACAACTTTCAGGAAATAAAACTTTGAAGCAGCCCTGGTCCTATTCTGTTCTCCATGGGCTTATCACATTTTACAGAGTGTTGATTTTGTCAAAATTCAAAATTACAGCAAATTAAGTTTACAGTCCCAGAATTGGACAGTTGCTAACTGCATAAAAGAGAATGACTGCTCTGATGAGCCATGTCAAACAATAATAGCAATATGAAAATGAAATCACATACTGTAATCTGTTGACCACAGAAGCAAATAGGAAGATCTAATCTTTCATCTGTTAGCCAAGATATTTAAAGGCTTGTCCAAAAACAAAGCATTGCCACCTTCTGTTGTTTTGACTTGTTTTAAAGAAACAATACTTGCTGGGCGTGGTGGCACATGCCTTTAGTCCCAGGACTTGGGAGGCAGAGGCAGGCGGATGGATCTCTGTGAGTTCAAGACCAGCCTAGTCTACATAGCGAGTTCCAGGACAGCTGGGGCTACAGGGAGACTCTGTCTCAAAAAGACCAAAAAAAAAACCAATACTTTACATTAAAAAAAAATTTAGTGGTTTTAATGTATAATAGTTATATTGTTATTTTAAGCAGTTAACAAGTATAAATTTTATGTTCATATTTATACTTTGGTAAATATAAAAAATTATAACTCATATAAACAGAAGTCCTTTAAGGCACTTAATAATATCTTTGGTTTGTTTTTGTTTTTTATGGAGAGGAAGGAGCCTATGGCCTCATACTCGCTTGGCAAGCGTACCTCCACTGAACTACAGCCCCAGCCACACTTGGTCATATTAAAAGTACAAAAGAGTTCTTATTCTAAAGAGTTTGAGGATCACTATGCTCTATGTTCTGATTAAATGCTCTTCATAATACACTGGGAGCCAGCATGGTGGCATGCACTGGTAATCTCAGTGTTGGGTAGACTGAGGCAGGAGGGTAGTAAACTCAAAGACAGCCTGAGTTACATAGCAAGACCGTCTCAGCTTCTAAAACTGTTTCATCTGCAGAGAGCATCTTAACCTAACCTTTCTTGGTTCTTGAACAGAGCATACCTCATGGGCTTGACGCAAGATTGTTATTTCTGCCTGGGAAGCCCTCCTCCTCTGTCTTCCTCTCAATGCCTACTCTTCACATTTCCACTCAGATATCATTGTGACAAGGAAATTTTCCCTCATCAACCTCTTGCATGTCCCAGCTTGAGTTCCCTAATTTCTCTCATAGCTCCAATCACTTTTTTCTTTCTCATAGCTTCATGTACTTTTCTTTCATAGTACATACACCAGCTTATAATTATGCATTTTTAGATAATTTGATTAGTGTTCACTTCCCCTGTAACCTTAAGCCTCACTAGAACACATTTCTTTTTTAAAAAATTTTATTTATTATTTTTATTTTATGTGTATGCGTGTATTGCCTGCATGTAGGTAAGTGCACCCATGTCATGGAAGACAGAAGAGGCTGTCAGATCCCCTGGGACTGGAGTTATGGACAGTTGTTAGCTGCCATGTGGGTGCTGGGATTCGAACCTGGGTCTTCTGCAAGAACAACCATTGTTCTTAACTGCTGAGCCATCTCTCCAGCCCCAGCAAATTTCTTTTTTGCCTACTGTTTTATCCTCAATACTTTCTATAGTGTTTGGAAAAAATATATATATATAAAATGAATTCTTTTCTAATATTAAAACCATGTGTGAGGCAAGGGAGAGTGCATTTTATTGATTGTTGCATCATCTTAATAGTTTTTCAGATTACTAGCCATGACTTGAGAAATAACTGTTGAAAACTGCTTCTATTATATGGACCTGCACATAAAAAAGGTATCTTAGCAGTATAATCATTCTGAAAGAAACTAGATTGCTTAGTTCACTTACACAGATCCATTTTCCAGAATCTTCTTCCAGCTTATGCTTCTTAGTTTCCGAGCTTTTTTCTATAACAAATGGTTATACTGAGTTTTTCTCTAAAAATATCTTTTTTATTAAATGCAGGAACAGATTGAATTTGTGCTGTCTTATTTCTTTTGGGACTAAGGGTACATTTTCCAACTTCAGAAATTGTTTTGGAGACCACAGAAGTATCAGATTCAGCTAATGTGGTGGCCACCTCAGGACAGTAGTATTTTACTCTACTTTTCTTCCAAGAACATAACTGTTAAAAATGACTGCAGTTATTTATTCTCCAGTTTACAATTTATTACATGAGGGGATCATATTTCATTCTTCCTTCAGTTGAGTAATGGTGTGTGCATGCTTTCCTGCAGTAGGGACAAATGGTTTCTCCCTCGTAGGCTTTAGACTTGGGTCCTGTTTTAATGAAGAGAACTTTGAAATCTGGATGAAGGCAGAGTGTTGCCAAGTGATCTTTCATATAAGATAGCCAGACACTGTTTGCAACATGTGTCACCTTAAAAGTTACAAACTTGGGGCTGGAGAAATGGCTCAGAGGTTAAGAGCATTAGCTGCTCTTGCAGAGGACCCAGGTTCAATTCCCAGCATCCACATGGCAGCTAACAATCATCCCTAACTCCAGTTCCAGGGAATTTGACACCCTTTTCTGACCTCTGTGGGCATTGCATGACATAGGTATACTTACGTAACTGCAGGCAATACATTCATACACATAAAATAACAATAATAAATAAATAATTTTTTTAAAAAATTAAAGAAAGAGTTACAAACTCTATTCAGGTCCATCTAGTAGACTCTAAAAGAGCTTATAGCCTTTAGGGCATTTGGTCTTGATCGTATTGCTGATCTCCAATGGTTTTATTTTACACAGAGACAAATGGATATCAATGCTGCTATTCAAGCCTTGATTGAAACAAATTCTGCCCTGCAGATGGAGGTAATATATTTGGCTTTATTTATATTAGCATTGGCAGTATTAAAGTTAAACAGGGATTTTTGAAAGCCAAACTGTGGCATTATCTCAAAAATTGTATTTAAAACAGAAAATTTGAAACTTTTTTCAACTATAATAAAACAGAAATATACACACAAAGAATATTTGAAACAAAAAGGTAAAACTGTGAAAGAATTGTTTGGAACTTGAGGAAAAAGAGTTCAAGTACTCATATTTCTTTAAATGGAATCTATCATGATTCCCCATCGTATTTAAACTCTATTTGGTATGGAGTTTTAAAAGCATTATACAGTATGCACAAT